TAGTATATACAAAATGTTTCCACTCCTAGCAGTTAAGGAATAGATTTAAAACAAGCAAAACAGCTTTTTGTTTCACCCTGCTTCTTCCTTTTACAGGGCCCCGTAGGCTGAGTATAAAAACTGACTGACTAAACATCAATCCCACCTCTTATGAGAGAAGCTGCCCACACAGAAGAAAACACTTGCTTCTTTCCCTTAAGCTCACTAAAAGTTTTAAAAGAATAAGGAAAGTGGGTGGGATTAAAGATAAAGAATACTGGGACGAAGTGATACATGACTAATTCCAGCTACGGGGGAATGCTGAGGCAGGAGAATCACAAATTCAATGCCAGCCTCACCAAATTAGCTAGCCTGTCTTTTAAAAAGCAGGGGAAAAGGGTACTGGAGATATAGTTTAGTGATAGAGCATCTCTGGGTTCAATCCATTATGCAGTAGGGGGTAGGAAATTATTAAATTTCTTTAATCTGGTGATCATGAATCCTACTAAACCGGCATGATGATGAACATGTGTAATCCCAGAAACTGGGGAGGCTGAGTCAGGAGGATTACAAATTCAAAACCAGCCTCAGCAACTTAGTGAGGCCCTAAACAACTGAGACTTGTTTCAAAATAAAAAATAAAAAGTGCTGGGGATGTGTCTCAGTGGTTAAGCACCCCTGGGTTCAATCCCCAGCACCACAAAAAAAAAAAAAAAAAATTTAATCTGTTATAGGTGTTTCAAGCATTGTCAATTCAGCAAACACAACATAACATTATTTTCATGTCCCTAGTTACATGCAAGAAAATGAAAACAGCCTAAGATAATTTATCAAAGTTACCATATGTAAGTTTTGGGTCTCTAAAATATACCAGTTCCAAACTTTAAAAAACAGGGAAAGGACTAGGAATATGGCTCTGTGGTAGAAAATCTGCCTAGTAAGCTCAAAGCTCACCGCTAAAGGTTTGATTTTCAGAACCACAGAATAAAAAATACTTGCCAGGCAAGGTGGCACAAGCCTTAATACCAGCAACTATGGAAGCTGCAGCAGGAGGATCACAAGTTCAGGTCAGCCTCAGCAATTTAGCAAGGCCCTACCCACCTCAGTGAGACCTTGTCTCAAAATAATAAAAAAAGGCCTGGGGATGTGGTTCAGCTGCTAAGCACACTTGGGCTCAATTCCACTACCAAAAGGGAAAAAAACAAAACAAAAAAACCATAACATTGCAGATCACAAAGAAGTTGATAGTCATACAGTGAAGAGATTTTTAAAGTCTAAAGTCAATATAAATATTAAAAGCAAACAACCTTTGACAGAAATACATTAGCATACAGTTCTAGCAGAGCTGCATTAAATTATAACCTAAAGCTGAATTTATCTTTATATGAGTTTTTTGGTAGGAAGAGGATACTAGGGACTGAACCCTGAGGTGCTGTACCACCAAGAAAAAAACCCAGCCCCTTGACATTGTTTTGTTTTGTTTTGTTGTGGTGCCAGGCATCGAACCCAGAGGTGCTTAACCACTGAGCCACATCTCCAGCCTGTTTTATTTTTGACGTAGGGTCTGGACAAGTTGTAGAGGCTGGCCTTGAACTTGCAATCCTCCTGCCTCAGGCTCCTGAGCAGCTGGGATTAAAGATGTCCACAACCACACCCTTAAGCACCTTTGTTTTCAGTCAGGGTTTCACTCATTTTGAGAAAGGGATCTGCTACACTGCCCAGGCTGGCCTCAATCTTGCAAATCCTCCTCCCTCAGCCTCCCAAGGTGCTAAGATTCAGGTGTGCACCACAGTGCCCAGCAATACATGGGTCTTGAATAAATCATAAAAACTATAAAACAGTTTTATGACAGTAACTCTCACATAAATGGATGAAAGAGTAATATAAACTGAATTGGTGAGTAACATAACAAACAAGTACAATATGAACTTAATATGAAGCCAACAATGGGGAGTAAGGTTTCAGTTTCAAAATCCAGTCCACCCTATTTTCCACAAAAAGGTTCAGGGGGAAAAAAAATCCCCACTAAAAATCTGATTTAGGCCAGACTCATGCACACCTGTAATTCCAGCAGCTCAGGAGGCTGAAGCAGGAGGACAAGTTCAAAGACAGCCTCAGCAACTCAGCAAGGCCCTAAGCAACTTAGCCAGACCCTGTCTCAAAATAAAAAAATAAAACAAGGCAGGAATGTAGCTCAGTGGTTAAGCACCAATGGGTTCAATCCCTGGTAACAAAAATTCTGATTTAGTTAGTCTTTTAAGTACCTTGAAGTTTCTCCTTGCCTTTCAGACCTAAACACTTATTCTGATCTTTACAACTATACGTTAACATTATAAAAAACATATGGTTTGAGCTGGGCACAGTGGCGAATGCCTGTAATCCCAGAAGCTAGGGAGGCTGAGACAAGAGGATTTTGAGTTCACAGCCAACCTCAGAAATGGTAAGGCACTAAGCAACTCAGTGAGACCCTGTCTCTAAATAAAATTCAAAAAAGGGCTGGGGATGTGGCCCAGTCAGTGGTTGAGTGTCCCCTGAGTTCAATCCCTGGTACCGAAAAAAAAAAAAAAAAAGAATAAAGGTGTTAGTGAAAAGCACTCTAGAGGAACCAGATTTAAGCCAAGCATAGTGGTACATGCCTGTCATCCTAGCTATTTAGGAGGCTGAAGCAGGAGGAATATCACAAGTTCCAAACCAATCTCAGCAATTCAGGGAGACTCTGTCTCAAAATAAAAACGGCTGTAGCTCAGTAGTAAAGCACCAGTGAATTCAACCCCTAGTACCACCAAAAAAAAAAAAAAAAGAAAGAAAAAGAAAAAGAAAGCAAGAGTTGGTTATGTAGCTCAGTGCTAGAGTGCTTACCTAGCAAGCAGGAAGGCCTGTGTTTATCCCCAGTAGCGGTGGAGAAAAAAAGGGGGGAGGGGGACTGATTTATAAATTTTAAAAGTGTTTTTAATTCTCATTTAATGAATCTGCCTAAAAATTTCATTCAGGTTCTTTTTAAAGTAGCATACAGCTCACTGCAGTGAATTCAATCTTGGTTACCTGGAATCAAATATAATTCATATCTTTATATTTACTGTACACAAGGCACTCAACTAGACATTGTATTGGGCATATTAATCAGCCAAAATATTATACTTTCTACTAAAAAAAATAAATTATCATTGTGACTCCTCAGGACACCAGGTAACAATTATCCTGTTAGTCTGTAAAAATGCTTGTTAAACCAAAAGGCAATGCTCTGATTACTAGAGAAATCCAGACTGCCAGGATCAGCAAAACTACCTTAAAAAGTTAATAGCCTCCACCCTTAAAATATCCCAAGAGAAGGGAGTGATTCAAACTATTAGTTAGTATGTGCCCAGCGATACTACACAATAATAACCTAAGCAAAACTGCGAGATGCATTTGTAATTAAGAAGTCCAACCTTGATAAAGCATCATCAGTGGGATTTTCATCCAACTGGGTGGAAGGATTCTGCAAGCAAAAGATCAGGCAAAATCCGAAAAGCATACTTAAGCATATACTGCCAAGCAGTGAAGGATCTAAGAGGGCCAGTAAATCCCTCTCTTCTTCAACCTGAGAAGCATCTCTTCTTTTGTAACCAGGACAGAGCAATTTAAAAGAATGAATGAATGGCCTACAATTCCAATAGGGACTGCTAGATAATCGGTACGATACACAAATCAGCACAATAAGAAAAAGTATGAAATGCTACTGTGGAAAGGACTAGAACCCTGGGAAATCAAGAAAGACAAGAAGTTTTTAAACGCGGGATCGTCAGTTTACGTTCTAGCCTGCTTTTAAAGAAAATCGCAAACTCCCAAGAAGAGGACAACTTTGGATTTCTCTCTCCCATTGATTTCTGGCATCTGCCGTCGGACAGTCGTGGAAGCGTCCAGAGGCAGGCAGCACCAATCCTATGACAGCCCTTTCTCCAAGGCCACGGCAGCGCGGCGCTGGGGAGGCCGCCGGGACTCTTCGCGGCAGGGGCAGGTGTCCGCGCCAGACTCCGGCTCGCCGACTTGGCGGAGCTTCGGCTCCGCTTCCCCTGCCCGCTGAGCGCCGAAAAGTTAAGTGAAGACAACTCCAGGGACGAAGTCGCTTCCCCACGCGGCCTGGGGGCTGCGGCCCCTCTCGCCCGCCCCAAGCCCCAGCGGCCGCGGAGGACAACTCGGCGACGCCGGAGGACGCGGGGGTCACCAGCAGCAGGCAAGCCACGGGGTGGAAGCTGTACGGACCGCGCTTCCCAAGTTCTGGAGCAAGCCCCCAGAGAGCCTCCGACACGCCGACCGGGCCCGTGACGACCCCGCGCCCGAAGACCGCAAAGCCCTCACCCGCGGCCCGCAACCCTCCCCCTCGCCCCGACCCTTCCCTGGGACGCAGCCCGAGCACCGCGGCTAGACCAGCAGCCAGGCCGCGGCCCTGCGCCCCTTCCCGCCTCACCTGCGCTCCGCTGCTGCGCCGTACCTTCTCACCCGCTCCGCGCGCCCCGTCGGGGCACGCACGGACCCCCGGCCCGGACTCTCCCGGTCGCGGTGACTAGAGACGCGTCGGCGGCTGCCGTCGCCTTCTCTTTCTAGGCACAAACCCCGGCAGCCAGCAGGGTCGCAGTCAGCGCCCCCGCCGGGGCCAAGAGAACCTCGCCGCCTCCACAGCCTCCACCACCAATTCCCTTCAGTCGTCCGCGCCGCCCCAAGAAAATGTCACCAGAGGCCGTTCCGCTCTGCGCCTCACTTCCGCCCGGAACCACAGAGCTAGCGCGGGTCGCCTAGAGCAGCCGCTGCGGCTGGAGCCTCTGAGGACTGTAATAGAAGGCCAGAGGAAAGCCCGACAGCGCCATCTGGCGGGAAGGAATCCGCGCTCCTCCCGCTACAGAGTGTTGGCGCGTTGGCGCCGGCTTCGCGGGCGTCTTTCCCACAAGCTCTCGTTCCTGGCTCAGCCTTCCGAGGGAGTAGAAAAGCCAATCAGTGCAAACCAAGGATAGCGCTTTCATTCCCGTGCACTGCCCAGTACTCACCCCCTCCCGAAGGTTTCCCGATGCTAGCGAAATCTGAATCCTTGAATCACTCCAGCAGGAAGCCGGCTCCTTTCTCTACCCTCTTTTCTTCGGAAGTCATCACCTTGGCTTGGGGAGACCAGGCTGTGCTCCTCTGGTGCCGTGGCACCAACGTCCTGTTCAAGTTTCTGCACAGGAACCTTGCGAGCCTTGCGGATAGCGCGCCACCTGCTGGTACGATGGGATCCGCCAGGGAGACCCCGCTCTGCCTCTACGTTGGTTCCAAACGCCCCAAATTCCACCTCTGCAGAGTCATTCCTTGCATTTGCAGCTTGCCCTGGGAAGAGTGACGCAACGGCGCTGTCTCTGAGTTTTCCAGGCGCGTTCCAGAGATGGGGCGGAGGAGGGAGGCCGAGGAAGGAGGCCGGGGAGGGGCGGGGGGATTAGTTCCTGTGGGGACCTGGAGAAAGATGAAGCGATCACAGCAGTCTGGAGAGTAGAAGGCTTCCATTCAATCTAATGTATGAAATATGATATGTCAAGAGCTTTGTAATGTTGTGAACAACCAATAAAAAAAAAAAAAAAAAGCTGTGGACATAGCAGCTCAGGGGTAAAATGCCCTGAAATTCAATCCCTATACTGCAAAATAAATAAAAATAAATTTAAAAATTGGAAAAAAAAAAAAAAAGAGAGTAGAAGGCTTCCAAAGGAGGAAAAGGAGATACGAAGCACAACCTCACTACTCAATATCTGGCTCCCTACAAGCAATACAAAGTTCTGAAAGGGGACAAAATAAACGACTGTAAGAGAAAATATCAAGAGTCTTTACCTTTTTTTATCATTTATATTTTTCTGCTACATTTATTATTCCTACCTTGATATTTTTGTTTTTTGTTAGTGCACTATAATTATACATAGTAGTGGGGTTCATTATGACATTCATACATTTCCCTTTTAAACAGTTGGATTTTGATGTGGTGGCCCATGCTTGTAATCCCAGTTACTTGGGAGGCTAAGGCAAGAAGATTCCAAGTTTGAGTCCAGCCTGAGCAATTTTATGAGACCCTGTCTCAAGAGAAAAAATAAAAAGGGCTAGCGATGTCGCTCAGTGATAGAACGAGCCTGGATTTTATCCCCAGTACGGAATGTTAGTGTGTTGTGTTGGAAGAGATTTTGAAAATCCCACAACTCTCCAGCCCCTTAACAGTCTCCTCTTTAGATCTGGCCCTTTAGAATCCCCACCTCACCCCAATAAGCTGAATTTAAATATATTTTCTAATAGATAGATAGATAGATAGATTGGGTACTGGGGATTGAACTCAGGACACTCAAACACTGAGCCACATCCCCAGCCCTATTTTGTATTTTCTTTTATTTTAAAGACAGGATCTCACTGAGTTACTTAGCACCTCACTATTGCTGAAGCTGGCTTTGAACATGTGATCCTCCTGTCTCAGCCTGCTGAGCCACTGAGATTATAGGTGTGTGCCACTGCACCAGGCTTAAATATATTTTTATTAACATATGATAATTGTATTATTTATGGGGTACAGTGTGACATTTCAAAAAATAATGTGTCATGATCAGGTCAGGTAAATCATATATCCATTACTTCAGACACTTATTGTGTTGAAAACATTCAAAATCTTCATTACTAGCTATTTTGAGATCCTTCACTACCCCTACCATCACCACAGTGTATTGAATCCAGGGCCCCAGCCCTCCTGTCTTATTTTACCCAGGCTGGCTCCAACTTTCCCCCTCCCCCATTTAGTACTAAGGATTAAACCCAGGGACACTTAACCACTGAGCCATATTCCCAGCCCTTTTTATTTTTTATTTTGAGACTGAGCCCCACTAAGCTGCTTAGGGCCTCCCTACATTGGTGACACTGGCTTTGAACTTGGGATCTTCCTGTCTCAGCCTCCAGAGCTTATGAGGTTACAGGTATGTAACCACCATGTCCAGCCTGCCCTCCAAATTTTGATCCTCCTGCATTAGCCTTCCCAGTTTCTGGGATTACCTGCATGCCTGCTCACGGCTTCTAGTACCTATTTTGAAATATTCAACTAATTGTTATCAATCATACTCATACTTCTCTGCTACAAAACATTAGAAGTTATATCCACCTTAGTTGGGAATGTAACTCAGTGGTACAGTGCTTGCCTATCAGTGTTTGCCCAACACCACCACCACAATAACAACAAAAAAATGGATTCGTTCATTTAATCCTCATAACAACCCTGTGAGTTTGAAGTTATTACACTAATCCCAGTTTGCAAAGAGAGAAACTGAAGCACTGAGTGACCTGCCCAAGATGACACATTGGTAATGGGATTCTAACAGACAGTCTGACTCCATAGCCCACTTTTTAAACCATAACCACGAATTGCCTTCTTGAGATTCATTGAGAATATACTATGTGCCAGACAAATATGTTATCTGTGCTATTTCATGAATTCATTCATTCATTTTCTGCTACTTTAACTCTCAAGGAATTTGAGAAGTTGTGGGGTACTGACAAAGGCCCAGGCTCTTTCAGGAGAAAAAGAGGAAAATAACCACTGAGCCACATCCTCAGCCCTTCTTTGTTTAGAGACAGGGTCTCTTGAATTTGCTTAGGGCCTCACTAAATTACTGAAGCTGGTTTTGAACTGGTGGTCCTCCTACCTCAGCCTCCTGAGAGACTGAGATTACAGTACAGGCACGTACCACTGCGCCAATCTACAGGCTCATTTTTCCAGAGCAATAAGTTCCCTTAGAACCAGAACCAGAATGGAATAGTGCAAAGAGATGTCATGAAAGCGAAGCCAGGAGGTGATCAAGAATGGCAGGAAAGGGCATCTCCCTGGACTTCTCCTGTCCTCTGGGATGGATGTTGGAGTCTCTGATGTCTTAAGTAAAGGACTCTGGAACCCAGCTCTGATGTCCTGTTTCCAATCAGATGATCTACCTAAAACCTGGTGCATACAGAAAGTCTCTAACTTTTTTTTTTTTTTTTGTACTGGGGATTGAACTCAGGGACATTTTACCACAGAGCTATATCCCCAGCCATTTTTATTTTTTCATTTTGAGACAGTATTTCACTAAATTGCTTAAGGCCTCATTAAATTGCTGAGGCTGTCCTTGAACTTGCAATCCTCCTGCTCCATCCTCTGGTGTTGTTGGAATTACAGGCATATATTTGCCATACCTGGCAAGTCTGTAATTTAAACAGGTAGAAATAAATGTAAAGAACAGTTATAAATTTATCAGCAAGTATGAATTCACCTCTCTTTTATCTTTGCATCTTTTTTTTTTTTTTGGTAGTGCTGAAAATTGAAGCCATACTAGGCAAGCACCCTAGCAACTGAACTACACTGCCAGTTCACCACATACCTTTTTTTTTTTTTTTTTTTTGAGACAGGGTCTTACTAAATTGCCCAAAGTAAGATCCTCCTGGCTCAAACTCCTTGGGAGCTGGGATTATAGGTGTAGACACTGTACCTAGCTTCCTCTCATTTTTTAATGAAGGGGTCAGCCTTATGATATGGTACCTGACCCTGACCTTGTGATCTGTATGATATGGTACCTGACCCCTGACATCCCATCCAAACTAGCACCTGACTATCCATCACAGCACCTGTGTGTTTACCTCCTAACTTTCCCCCTCCTGTGTTCTAGGGACCTATCCTTTCTCATGCTTCTGACAACCAGAGTAGAGCCCCACAGGACAGACTCTGTTGTCCTACTCAGGCCTTCACATCATGACCCAGGAACACTGGGTGCACTTCTGGTCAATGGAAGAAATATGTCTGAGATTCAGAAACTTGCAAGGATGAGCCAGGCACTGTGACACACTCCTGTTGTCCCAGGGACCCAGGGGACTGAGGCAGGAGGATTGCAAGTTCTAGGCCAGCCTAGACAACTTAGTGAGACCCTGTATCAAAAATAAAAATGGCAAGGGCAGGGGATGTAGCTCAATGGTAGGGCACTTGCCTGGTATATACCTCCAGTACTGCAAAAATAAATAAATAAATAAATAAAATTTTAAAAAGAAAGAAAGAAAGAAAAAAGAAAGGAAGAAAAGAATCTACAAGGAAGCAGTGTCAGGTGGCAAATAGATAAGAAGCTGCAGTGGGCAGGGGGTGGGCGGGGATGTCTTGTTGGTTGACCCACCTGATTAAATGTGCCCCTCCTCAGCCTCTCACTGTCTAGCAAAGGACTTGGTAGAAAAGATACACTTAGCCTGTAATGGAGAAACAAATATGCAGAGCAACTGATGTCTTTAGGAGGGAGCAAGAGTCCCTGGGAAATCTGGAGGACAATGATCTGAGGGCCAGACTGCCCATGGCTGATCAGAGAAACCAATGTTACAGAGTTGGGGACTTCAGAGGAACTGAGTCAGAGGGAAGAATCCCCCTTCAAACCCCAATTGTTGCGATCAAGTCAGAAAGATTTCAGACATACTGCTCAAAGTAACAGGAATGAGTTTATTGAAGGGATAGCAAAAGGGAAAGGGGGCACTCTCAAGGGAGAGAACAGGTCCTCTCAGAGAGAGGAACATCATGCCTCTCTGCACTCTAGTTTGCTTTTTGCGGGAGGGGTACTAGGGATTGAACTCAAGGGCACTTGATCACTGAGCCACATCCCTATTTTGTATTTTATTTAGACAGAGTCTCACTGAGTTGCTTAGTGCCTCCCTATTGCTGAGGCTGGCTTTGAACTTGCAATCCTCCTGCCTCAGCCTCCCAAGCTGCTAGGATTACAGGCGTGTGCCACCACGCCCAGCCCTGCACCCAGTATTATTGGGGATCCCAGAGAAGTTTCCAGAGAGTCCTGCCCATATTCGTCTCTTGACTTTTGACTGACAGCAAGATGACATCAGACTTTCAAATACTCACTGCCATGACAGGGTCAGCATGAGCCAAAGTGACCTAAAGTAGGTCATGCTGACCCTTTCTAATTGGAACCATAAATTCTTACAGATTTTGTGATTGGGAGGAATCATCCTTATATCTGTGAGTTTTGGAATCGGGTCTGTTAAATGTCACAAAATCTCCCCTGTAAGTTCCTTGCTTAGCCTCTGGATTGCCATTTTAAGTGACAACCTCTAATTTAAGAAAAATTTCCCTTTCCCACCCAAGGGCATTTTTGAGAACAGCCTGCCACTCCTTCATACCAACCCCATCCTTAAACCTGTTTTCCCACTAGGACCTGAACATCTCTAATCCCTGAGCCTACCCTTTAAAAGTCCCAAACCCCAAGCCTGTTTTGCCTCTCCCTGTCTATGGAGAGCTGTGCCTTTATTTATCAGCTCTGACAAACTCTCACAGGTATCTCTGCCTGGTCTGCATCTTTCACTTTTTGCTTGCCCGACTCCCGG